CTGTACTTTGTTACTTTTACTTGAGTAAAGAAGTTTAATCAGTACTTCCACTTTTACCAGAGTATTTTTTAACAAAACTATCTGTACTTTTACTCAAGTACGGAAAGTGAGTACTTTTGCCATCTCTGGCAATAGTAATAATAATTATTATACAGGTTTTAAAGAGTATGTACAATGCAAGTTCCTCGTCTTCCACTTTATCGGGGACCGGGTCGCGGTGGAAGCACTGTCAGCAGAACTCCCTGAACTCCCTCTCTGCAGGCTGGGGGAAGCCTGAGGCGCTCCCAGGGCAGCTGAGGGACATAGTCAGTGGTGGAAAGCAACAAAGTACATTTTCTTGATTACTGTGCTTAAGTAGTATCTTTACTTTACTTGACAATTTTTTGGGGGGGGGGTGGGGGGGGGGGGAACTTATAACTCTCACTCTACTACATTTCTAAGTCAAAAATTGTATAAGTTGTTTAGTAGGATGAGTTCTCAAATCAGAGTTGTAGTTTAATTGTGGTAATAGATTGAACCTTAAACCCCTATTCCATGATTTAAATGTGAGGAGAATCAAGACACTCAGTTTTTTTGGTTCTTTTTTGGTTTGTTTTTCAATAAGAAATAATTATTAAAATAGCTGCCCTTATTTTTTGTGGCATTTTTATGCTGAAGGTCTTTACAGGTGGTGTAGAAGTTGTAGCAGAGTGGTTCTTCAAATAAATATATCAGGTGGACCACCTTCTGTCACTGTCCAGTCCTTTATGGATGAGGCATTGGCCTCCTCAGCCAGGGATTGTGGGCTTGAGTCTCATCTGGGGTCAAGTACTGAGGAAGCATGCCAGTCACATGACACCGCCATTCATTACTTATACCACATTTCCACTACCCTTTTGAAACTGTGACAAGAGAGGTCTGAGCATGGAAACCGAGATAACTGTTGAGTGTAAATGGCACGCAAACTTAACCTGACTGTGCCAGACACTGCCGAACCACGCTAAACTAGTACTAGTTCACTATTGGGCTCGACACAGTTGAGGCTTGGTTCTCTAATAAAAAGCTCATCAGCAGACCGCGTCATATCCTTACATTCAGCCTCGGTAATCATGAAATTTCAGACATTCAAAAAAATTCTTGCTTCCCTTCCTTGCCACATGATTTCCAGTGGCTTCCTGTTAAGTATAGAATATAATTTAAAATCTTCTTTCTCACATATAAAGCCTTGAATGGCCAAGCTCCATCTTCCTTATGTTCCTAACAGAGCACTTCGCTCTCAGTCTGCAGGTTTACTAGTGGTTCCTAGAATTTCTAAAAGTAGAATGGGAGGCAGATCTTTTAGTTATCAGGCTCCTCTCCTGTGGAACCAACTACCAGTTTTAGTCTGTGAGGCAGACACCCTGTCTACTTTTAAGGGTAGGCTTAAAACTTTCTTTCTTGATAAAGCTTATAGTTGGAGTGGCTCAGGTTATCCTGAGCTATCTCTATAGTTATGCTGCTATAGGCTTAGACTGCTGGAGGACATAGGGACCCCTTTTTTATAATACTGTGTCATTCTATGTCTATTCTCCCACTCTGCAGAATCTGTTAGCTCAATCTCACATTATGCTCTCTCTTCTTTTTCTCATAGTAGCTTTTCCGGAGAGTTTGCCATAATTGCTTTGATGCCAGCCGATAGTCGTTCTCTATGGACTGTCCAAACTCCTTCCAGGACCAAGTTTTTGCCTCAGCAACCACCAGAGTGCAAGGGTGATGTTAAAATATACTTTCAAAAATGTATGTTTTTCGAAATATCTGTAGTCATAAAGGTATTCTAAAAAAATATTTTTCATTTTGAATGTATTATTTGAGATCAATTTGTCTATGGATTTCTTTCTTTCTTTCTTTCTTTCTTTCTTTCTTTCTTTCTTTTTTTCTTTCTTTCTTTCTTTCTTTCTTTTTCCACTAAAAAGTTTTTTGGCTGTGACGTATTTACCCAGGTGTTTCTTGGATAGCAGTGGTTTAGGGAAGTGATTTTACATGACTTCTAACAGTTTGACCTTGTTCTTTTGACATTGCCTGGCACAGATGATGAAATGTCAGCTGACTGATGACGTATCATCCGACTAAGTTTAAGGAAGGAAGCACGTTATTTTCTACTCTACTACGCAGCCGACGGAGCCGGTAGAAGGACAAAAGCGGGGAAGTTAGAGGTTGTTGTCACAGCTCTCTTATTTGGCTCAGCAAAACACCCGAAAGGTAAGAAGACGATCATTAGAAAGTTGGGGAGTGAAAGTTGTTGGTGTCGAGTTTTGGACTAAAAATTTGACTTAGATCTGGGTTTGTTACTTCCTCCCTCTCACAACGTGGCCTAGTGCCGGTGGAGAGGGCTGTCCTTGGAATAAAGTTTTTTTTTTTAAGCATTTTTATATTTTTTTTCTAAAGAAGATTGTAGTGAAACTTAAATTTTTTAATAATTGAAAACCAGAAAATAGGATTAAAAAAACGAAAAAAATAAAAATAAAAAAATCCCTCACATAAAAGTAGTTTCTGCTGTGAGTCTTAACAACCTGAAGGTCAAGTATACTGAAAACTTTAAAGTCACCATTTTGGTTTCATATTCTGCGGATTTTTATCAGTTTTTTTCTTTCAAATTGAGTAGTTTTGTAACAGGTGGGTTGTCGCCCCCTAGTGGCCTTTTGAGAGTTTGTTAAATGAATGCATTTTCTTCCTTTCTAGAAACTATGACTGGAGGAGACATTGAAAAGGGAAAGAAGACCTTTGTCCAGAAGTGTGCCCAGTGTCACACTGTAGAAAACGGTGGGAAGCATAAAGTCGGACCCAATCTATGGGGCCTTTTTGGACGCCAAACAGGCCAGGCACCTGGCTACTCTTACACAGATGCGAACAAAACTAAAGGTAACTACTTCACATGGGAGGAAACGTTTTTTTTTTTCTGGAATCATGCTGTTTAACCTTTTTATTTAACTTATTTTGCTCTTTTTCTGTGATTTCAGGCATTACATGGAATGAGGAAACCCTAAATGTATATCTGGAGAATCCAAAGAAGTACATTCCTGGGACAAAGATGATCTTTGCTGGCATCAAAAAGAAGAACGAGCGTGCCGACCTTATCGCATATCTTAAATCAGCCACTTCATAAACAGAGCTTCCTCTGCGCTACTTTATCCATCTTTGAGTCTTAAAATAAACCACTAAGAGGTTTTCATTCCAGACTAAAGCAAAGTAGGAACCAGCTAAACTGAATTTGATTAAATCGTCACATTTGTTGAAACTGTATGAAATTGTGATGTCTATTTATCCCATTTTATGATTGTAAAACAAAACTTCCTGCTATTAAAAGATATATTTTTCTAATGCAAAGAATAATAAAATGTGAAATACTGTTCAGTCGAAATTCAGGAAATTAGTTGGACCTTTTTGCTACTTCAGATTTTTAGTAATTCTCATTTTTTGTAATTTACTTGAGCAAAATAAAACTGACACTAAAACACTTTTAGCCTCTTTGTTTTTCAAATGACAAAGTTTTCTTCAGCTGAAGGTGAAACTATAATACTTTTAAGTAAAGATGTTAAAGGTACTAAGAACTTTCTTGTAATTAGATCTTATTGTATATTCCATCCATTTTCCCTCACGCTTGATCCCTGCTGGAGCTGGGAGGGGTGCTGATGCCTATCAAGCTCTCTACGGGCGAGAGGCGGGGTCCACCCTGGACAGGTCGCAAGTCTATCGCAGGGCGACACACAGAGACAACCAACCATTCCCTCGCACCTAAGGAGAATTTAGAGAAGCCAATTAACCTAACAGTCACGTTTTTAATCCTGGGAGGAAGCTGCAGTACCCGGAGAGAGTCTTATTTTATTCATTCCACAAAATTAAGCATCTCTTCTAAAGCAGGATTTTATGACCAAAACTGAATTCAAGTTAATTTGGTTGAAATAATACATTTATATGATCTTTGCATTAGCAAACTGGGTGTAAAAAAAGTCACATTTAATTTGGGTTGGGTCTTATTTACCATTTGGGTCAACTGCATTTAATATAAGGTTTTATTCAGGAAATTTTTAAAACTCAACTATTACAAATGTTATTCTGGTTTTATGTGAATGTTTAAAAGCTGAGAAAAGCTATTTAATCACATTTCTAACCGAGATTAGTTTGCTGACTTGATTATGAGGAAGACCTCTGACTTGCCAAATGTCCAGCAAATTGTCAACATTTCTCACGCAGAAGGTTAAGCCACAAATGGTTGCAGCTAATAAAGGGAAATGCTTCAGAATGATTCATCTAACCATGAAATGGAAAAAATGTCCAATTTACATTGGGGAGCCAAGGCTGTTACAGTTTTAGGAAAATCAGCTGCAGAAAACAAGCTGAGGACATAGAGTGCAACAATTGCTGCTTCCTGAACAGCCAGAAGTAATTCACCTTTAGTTTACGAACAAAATGGAGCAGACGTTTTGCTTAGTTGTTCAAACTGTTGAGTTAAGATATGAAATGTTTGTCTGGAAATAAGTACTGCTGAGTTGATCTCATTTTCCAGCAGGACTTGGTACATTTCCACACTGCATAAAGTATTGCTTTAATAGCCAGGATTTCACTTCGCTTGGCTGGTCAGATGAATGGCCTGAACTGGTGATTTGGATGATTGTAAAGTGGGAGATGAGAATCACCAGAGTCAATAATACAGACAAACAGAAGGAGCAATTAAATAAGCGTTTTATCACCTCAGCAATGCAGCAGACTGATCACCTCCACACTCATCACACTGCAGTAATTCATGCAAAAGTTCAGTGTTTCTACTGTGCATCGCCTGGTCTCAATTTTTAGGTCAATATTTCCAGATTAAAAGCATTTTAGAGTTTGGAAAGGTGAGGAACATTTATTAACATAACGTTTACATTCAAGTTCAATCATAGTGCTTAACAGGAAAAAAAAAACATAAATGGGAAAATCAGTTGGATCTATTTATCTCTGTTTATTTTTAATTATTTTTTATTGGATAAAGTAAATCTTAGGAACAGATAACAAATCAAAGCTATTTCAGCTTAATAAATCCAAATCTAGTGAAGTATAAGTTCAATAGTTTGCTCCAAATGACTAAAACAGAAATCCACAGTTTCCACAGCTGGAGTATTTCGCCCCCTGGCGTTCAGATCACGCAACTGCATATGATTGTTTCAGCGGTAATAAATTAGATTTTCTGACGTAGTCCCTCAGCCAATAAACGTCGCTGTTACATAACTTAATGAAATGGAGCACTGCAGATAGGAGAAGTGTGAAAGTTTGGGATTTATGAAAGAGATGATCTATTACACAGTTTTCATTCATTTCTATCTATCTATCTATCTATCTATCTATCTATCTATCTATCTATCTATCTATCTATCTATCTATCTATCTATCTATCTATCTATCTA